TTAGCTTTTAATCTGTCAATGGGTTTTAATTCGAATTGTTTTAAATTTGGGCCAAAGTATGTAATTCTTTTAATAATTTTAAATTTTGTATTGGTATGTGTTTTAGTTTTGGCTATGCACCGCCCTGAGTCCACTAGGAGAAGGGCGGTATACAAATTGAATAAAATAAATAAAATAAATAAAAATATATGTGGCTTGGGCTGGACCACATATGAAATGGTATAGTATATTTCATAGTATAATCATAGATCCTTTATATAATAGCACAACATCTATTAGACAGAGAGTGGATTCTGTGGACTTCATGTTCAACTTCAAAAATCTCCAGTGCATAAAAGAAGGAAGAGGCAAAAGGAATGAAAGCAAGTAGCAGCACTTCTCTTTTCTGACTATGTTGGCTTCATAAACCTCTCCTCAGTGGTTTATCCTGATTTGGATGAAGTAGTCATCAGGTCAGGGGTTAGTTTCCATACCACCTCATCTCATATTTCATCTGATAAACTCTCCTTAAACCAGTCAACTACTGTAAATCTCTCTGTATCCAGTCCACATCTTGTGTTAGCAGCTGAAACTCTGAAGCATAGCCCTACAGCAGAGGTGGGTTTCAGCAGGTTTTGACCACTTCTGGAGAACCGGTAGCAGAAATTTTGAGTAGTTCAGAGAACCAGTAGTAAAAATTCTGACTGGCCCCGCCCCCATCTATTCTCTGCCTCCCAAGTCCCAGCTGATTGGGAGGAAATGGGGATTTTGCAATAACCTCCCCCCGGAGTGGGGAGGGAATGGAGATTTTACAGTATCCTTCCCCTGTCACGCCCATCAAGCCATGCCACGCCCACCAAGCCACACCCACAGAACCGGTAGTAAAAATTTTTGAAACCCACCACTGCCCTATACCAAATACTTACCTTTCTAGGGACAACATATTTCTTAGTTGTCTGACATCACAACACAGGGGTGTCAAACTTGCAGCCCACGGGCCAGATACGTCACACGTTGGCCACGCCCACCCCCAGTTTAGCAAAGGGGGGGAAAGTTGCAATATGTCATGTGATGACAACATGTTGTCATAAGTTTGACACCCCTGTCACAACAGGATTTTCTAAGTTTCAGATGTGCCATAAAATCAGGACTGGCCTCAATCAGTAAGAAAGTTGTCCACTTGGACATCCAACTTGGTTAAAAAGAAGATCATCCTTCCTGGCTTGGTGAAGAAGGACATTCTGTGGCATACAGAGTTAACTCTGATCAAGTACTAAAACGAAATAATGTAAACAAATGTATTTTCTTACTTTAAGGTGTGTTATATTTGTAGACTTTTTAGAGATGAAGTAATTTTGACCAGACCATGTGATAAAAATATTTTTAAGCTAAGACACACTATTTCAAGATGTATTTGGCATGCCACTGTCTTTAACATAACAGCAAATATAATACTGATATATTTCAGTATATGATCCAATATATCCAGTATATTGATATTTCTTACTGATCTGTGCTTGGATCTCCTATCTTAAACATTTAAGGTAAATTTTATTGTGGAATGTTAGATGAACTGTTACATTTTACTCATATTTTATGACTTTCCATTTGGATATATCAGTGCTTGTTATGTTTTTCCTCATGATGCTTCAATGCTCTCTCTAGTGCATGTTTGAAGAACTTGATGCTACAGTTAATTTTAAAAAACATCTAAACAGAACAGAATAACAGAATAACAGAGTTGGAAGGGATCTTGGAGGTCTTCTAGTCCAGCCCTCTGCTCAATCAAAGGACCCTATACCATTTCAGACAAGTGGCTGTCTAGTCTCTTCTTAAAAACCTCCAGTGATGAAACGCCCATGATTTCTGAAGGCAAGCTATTTCACTGGTTAATTGTCCTCACTGTTAGGAAGTTTCTCCTTAATTCCAGGTTGCTTCCCTCTTTGGTTATGTCAGATGTAAATGCCTTATTCCCTAATGTGTAAATAATGTATATATGGGATATCAGGGGTTAACTTATTCTTTGACTCTTAATGTATTCATAATTCACCACTCCCACTCTTGGCTCCACCCTTTGTATATATAAGGAGCCACCTTCACCATTTTCTCTGCTTCTATCTGTGAATATTCAGTGAATATAGAATGCCTATTATAATTAAAGAGAAATATATTTAAACCTCTAACTCTTATTATTATTATTGAGTCTGATCCTGAAAATATTGCAACAGGTTAGTTAGTGATTCAAGGTGTTGGTTACCATCTTTAAAGCGCTCCATGGCTTAGGACCTGGGTACTTACAAGATCGCCTTCTGCTACCGACAGCCTCCCATCGGCCAATACGCTCCCACAGAGAGGGACTCCTCAGGGTACCCTCGGTCAAACACTGTTGACTGGCGACCCCCAGGGGGAGAGCCTTCTCTGTGGGGGCACCCACCCTCTGGAATGAATTGCCCCCGGAGATACGGATGATCCCTGACCTACGCACCTTTCGCTGGGCCCTCAAGACGTTACTGTTCCAACAAGCTGGGCTGGCCTAAACATTAATTTTAATGGGTTGCTTTTGGTTTTTTTTAATGATGTTGGGGCCAAACTATTTATTATGTTTAATATGTTTTTAAATTGCTTTTAAATTTTATATATGTGTTCGTTTTATCTTCGGCTGTGCACCGCCCTGAGTCCTTCGGGAGAAGGGTGGTATAAAAATTAGATTAAAATAAAGAAATAAATAAATAGTTTCCAACCCTTGTTTCTTGTCCTGCCCTCTGGTGCTTTGTAGAATAATATGATCCCCTCTTCTTTGTGGCAGCCACTCAAACACTGGAATACTGCTATTATATTGCCCCTAATTCTTCTTTTCTTTAGACTAGCCCAGGGGTGGCAAACTCACGCTGTCATGGCATTGTCACATGATATATTGCAACTTTCCCCCCTTCCCTAAACCGGGTGTGGGTGTGGCCAGTGCGTGGCACATCTGACCTGTGGGCCGCGGGTTTGACAGCCCTGGACTAGCCAAGCCCAAATCCTGCAGCTGTTCTTCATATGTTTTAGTCTCCAGGCCTTTGATCATCATAGTTGCTCTTCTCTGAACTTCTGGAAGCAAGTTATTCCACTGATTAAAATTTGCACTTTTCATTTGAAATGTACCAAAAAAAAAGAAACCACAAACAAACTCCAAAGAAAAAAGAATTCAAAAAAGAGGAAGGAGTATGGAAAAAGCAAAATTGGGAAGTGCAAATAAATTTCTATTAGGAAATTTCCTCTTAGTTCTAAGTTACTTCTCTTCTTGATTGACAGTGATATTTTTTTTACCCATCCAATTTAAAGATAACTTCTTAATTAAAAAAGCAAAACAAAAGTAGCAACCCCTAACAACAATGGTTGAATGCTACCAGATGGAACTAAAAACTAATTTTTCCAGGTGCAAACTGCAGCTTGTCCGATGCAGTGAAATGCCGCAACCTAACAACAGAAGTACAGCCTTGAGGGAATCATCTTGATTGTATGCAACAAACTGGTAACAGCTGTACCTTGATTGCACTAAACAGTAATAATCAGTAATTTAAATCTAATTAATGGGGTGTACCCAAGTACAAAATGAACCCTATCTCTGTCTTGCTGTTATTTGTACAGTGTCCATTAGGGGGCGCCAGTGCTACACCCTTTCCACCCATTAACTCCTCTAGGCTTGCTCTTCTTCTTCCCCTAAAGATCTCCTAGTTTCTTCTGTAGCTGAAGCTCAGATTTCTCTGAACATATGTAGTATTAGTGAGGTCTACTCTTATTACAAGATTGTTGCCCACTAGAAGCCATATTTGTCTTAAACAAAGATCTTTTTACCCTATGAGAACTTTGTCAGCAGATCCCCAGGGTTTCAAATGAGAATCTTTTCCGGCCCTACTTGGTAATAAAGGGATTGAATTTAAGGCCTTTGGCTTAAGGCTTAAGGCTTAAGGCTTTGTGTCCTACCTTTTAGCTATCCTCTCTCTCCATATTATTACAGATAGTTCTTAACTTACAACGGTTCATTTAGTGACTCTTCAAAGTTACAACAGCACAGGAAAAGGTGACTTATGACAATTTCTCATGCTTATATGACCATTGCAGCATCCCCAAGTAATCAAAATTCAGACGCTTGGCAACTGACTCATATTTATGAGGACCACCGCACAGCCATCATAAATATGAGTCAGTTGCCAAGAGGATCCTCTTTTGATCCTCTTTTGATAAGCAAAGTCAAAGGGGAAGCCAGGTTCCCTTAACAACCGTGTTACTAAGGTAACAATTGCAGTGATTCACTTAACAACTGTTGGCAAGAAAGGTTGTGAAATGAGGCAAAACTCACTTAACAAATGTCTCATTTAGCAACATAAATTTTGGGGTCAATTGTGGTTGTAAATTGAGGACTACCTGTATTTTAATGCTCGGGCAAGTATTTCTTGGCTATCCAATAGGTTAAGTTGGAGTCCCTGACCCACAACATGCTTGCCTGAAGGTACCAGTGTACATATGATATCTCCATATCTCAATCATCCCAAGCAATTCTCTACCCCTCTCCTCTGGTGTACATCTAAGAAAGCTAAGACTTATTATATGTATTATTTAATTCAGAGAATTCTTCCAACAGAGTTGGAAGGGACCTTGGAAGTCTTTTAGTCCAACATCCTGCTCAAGAAGGAGACCCTATACCATTTCAGACAAATGGTTGTCCAATCTCTTCTTAAAAACTTCCAGTGTTGGAGCATTCACAACTTACAATAGACTAGAGCTGGAAGTGACCTGGGAGGTCTTCTAGACTAGAAGACAACTTCAATACCACTTCAGACAAGTGACTGTCCAGTCTCTTCTTAAAAACCTCCAGTGATGAAGCACCCACAACTTCTGAAGGCAAGCTGTTCCACTGGTTAATTGTCCTCACCGTTAGGAAGTTTCTCCTCAATTACAGGTTGCTTCTTCTCCTTGATTAGTTTCTAATAACTGAATGTAACAATTTAAGCCACAGACTTTTTTTCTTTTTTTTTCAGGTTTGATGGACAAAAAGATTGAAAAACAACAACATGGAACCTTGTTTTTATATGTGACAATAGCACCAAGGCTTCTCTATGCTCAGAAGATGGAAGGACTCATATGTACCCAATTAAAGAATGGGTGGTGAATTTAATGGAGTTGGCAGAGATGAAGAAATTGTCTGCTGAGGAAAGACTTTAGTTTCGTTTCTCCTTGGAAACCACTCTTGATTGTTGTTGCTTTTGAAACTGAAAGAAATGAAAGTTAAGCTTGGGTTTTGATGATTAGACTTGTTTGTAATGATAAAAGTATTGTTGGTTACAATTTATTCTAGTTCAAAAGGTCATTGGTTTTTAGGCTTTTATTTGAATCAAGGAAAATCAGAAGTTACTTCTTTCTATAGCTTTTTTCCCTCTTTGTTTGCACTTCCCAATTTTGTTTTTTTCCGTACTCCTTCCTCTTTTTTGAATTCTTTTTTCTTTGGGGTTTGTTTGTTTTTTTTTTGTACATTTCATACTTTTTAAAAAAATTAATAAAGCTTTGAAACAACAACAACATCTCTTTACAACCCCCCCCCCCCGACTTTCTGATTTTGTGAGTGGCCCTAACAGAAGGGTAGCCTGTTTGTGAAGCAGCAAATCTCCTTTATAGCAACTCTCACATTTATATCACATTTTTAAAATTACAAACCAGCGGCGGCAATCGTCCCAAAAATTCTCCTGCATTTCATAGCTGAACAGAAATTTTGAATGCAGAACTTTATATCTGAACCACTAAACCATAAGGTTGTCTTAGTCAATATGAAGGCAAGCAATTTTATCCTCAAAATAGTCAGCAAAATCGTCATAACAGAGTATTCTAAGCTTAGGCAACCATATTGGGCAGATGTTAGCAAGTACCAAAACATATAATTTTTTTTTGGATAGATGCTTGAAGATTCAGTGGAAGGAAACAAAACAAGCTTTTCCATTGCCCGGATTACTATGCAATTGCCACAACCAGATGCTCCAGCATATGTTTGGTTGTTTTCAGGATGACTTCTCCATAATATTACACTCCAGTCACAGGGGCTGTGCAGTTGTTTGACATAAATGCTTTAGAACAGGTGGGAGAAATACACAGCACTTCTTTTGGAATCATTAAAGCAGCCATGTCTTTTCTTTCTTTTTCTTTTTTTTTTTTTAAAAGAAAGCTCATGTTTCTATTTTGGAAAATATTCCTGCCTGCCTGCCTGCCTGCCTGTTTCTGACTGACTGACTGACTGATTGTCCAAATAGCCTCTTTGGAGTCTGTGGGGATAGGCATGAGGAGATAGCTGGGAACATATGAGCCTGAAAAAAGACATGGCTGTTTTAATCCTTAGGTGGTGGGAGGCATTTCACATCCACTCCTGCACATACCAAAGTATTTTCTTCAAAAAGTACTTCAGCTTCAAAGTACTTTCTTCAATTCTTCAGCTCAATTAGACCCTGTCTGCAATTCTTCTGAATACCAAGGTGCCATGAATCCTATATAAGAGAGAAGGGAGACTTTCAGGAGACCCCTTACAAATAAAGAAGAAAGCTAAACCCATTGAAATAAGTAAACCTGAATCAAAACTTACATTATCAGCTTTGGTACTGGAAGAGAAGATTTATTATTATTTATCTACCTTTTTATTTGGTCAATTCAAGATAGCATTCATATGCGATTCTCCCATCTTGGACCTGAATTCATAGCATTCTAGTCTATAGGCAACACACCTAATTTGGCTTTCCATATTACTATGCCTGAAAATGTAAAGCAGTAGCTAACATCTGGGGCCTCCAGATATCTGAACTCCCAGTCTACATCATCCATAGCCATATTAGATGGAGCTGCTGGGATGTTTGGTGGAACCTTTGATACCGAAGTAGTTATCTATTATTGCAATATTGATTGAAGCATTCCCTAACTCACTCACATGTTAAGGACATGTGCAGCCCCGTGTTAAGGACATCCAACTTGTCAACAATTTTGAATGATGGAACCCTCTGGGTTTTTGGTGCTTTTCAATCAACTTTCACTGAAGCTAACGATGATTCTGTTCATTTTACGGGACCCACCCACAACATTATTTGTGACTGGATCATTGAACCTTGCCTAATGCAAAGCGCAGCAGTTTAACTCCAGGTCTTGTTTCCTTCCAGTCGGGAGGATCAAGTCAGCAAAGTTAGCCACTCCGCAAAGAAACTTCTGATATGTAGCATTTCTGTATGTTACCCAAGTGTGGGTCCCTTCGCATTATGTCCTGCATTATCTAGTTTTACACTAAATGGTGAGCAAATAAACCACATTATGAGTCTGTGTTAAAGTGAACCCAGCCACTGTTGTTGGTAAACCATGCTTCTTAATTTATGTTAATTCAGATTATCGTGGTTTATTCCACAAACCATCAATAAACCCACAGGAGAATTCTACAGCCCTGTGAAAGGAATTCCAAATTGTTCTGATGTTACAACACTGGCACTTTGGAGACTAAAGCCAATTTCTTTTTGTTCAGCTGCAGTCGAAATAGCGGCAGAGCTTCAATTCTCTTTTGCAATGCCTTGAAATGTTGCAACACCATAGAGATGATGTCAGTCTGTTTTCGTCTTGAAAGTAGCTCCCACCTCACCTTGCTTCTCAGCCGAGAGGTGTTGCCAACCCTAGAAAGCTCTAAAGAGAGAATATTAGGTTGCAGTGTTTGCACTCTCTTTAAATTTTATTTTCTTAAGCAATCACATGCTCACTCACAACATAAAATAAGGATGTGGTTAGGAATAAATTTCCTTTATTTCCCTTTTCTGGTCAGAAAGCTCTCCCCCCCCCACACACACACTTTTTAAAAAAAATTCCAGGTGGTGCACCATTATTTTCTCTACAGTTACTTATGTGCATTAGGGAGCTTGATGGCTTCCCCAGTTCATGTTAATGACTATAATTTGCTCTTCTCCTAATTTTACATAGCAGCAGCAGCAGGAGGAGGAGAAGGAGGAAGAAAAGATGAAATGATCTGTTTAGCTTCTTCCTTTCTCTTCCCTGCCATCTATGTCTCTAGCTGCTAGGCGTTTGGTCGCAAAATTCTGTTACCATTGGGAACCCAATAGTTTGGAGATCCAGAAGTGTCTCCTTATGCCTCTGATCATCTCCATCCAACCAAAATTTTCTCAGACTCCTCCTTTCTCTCATCTCATTTACTTTTTCTTTATTTTGTTGGTTTTGCTATGTGTTGTTATTGTTGTTCAGTCACTAAATTGTATCCGCTTCTTCACAACCTCATGGACCATAGCAAGGCAGTGTCTCCTGTCCAAGTGCATGTCCATCGGGTCGATGACACTATCTAACCATCTCCTCCTCTTCTCCTATTGCCTTCGATCTTTCCTGCACCAGGGTCTTTTCCAACGAATCCTTCTCTTCTCATTTGATGGCCAAAGTATTTGAGCTTCTGCTTTAGTATCTGTCCTTCAAAAAAAAGAAGAAGAAGAAGAAGCAGCAATCAGGGTTGATTTCCTTTAAGATTGACTAATTTGATCTCCTTGCAGTCCAAGGGACTTTCAAAAGTCTTCTCCAACAAACTTTCCAACTTTTTGGGAAAAAAAAAGTCTTCTCCAACAACACCATTCGAAAGCATCAATTCTTTGGTGTGCTCAGGCTTCCATATGGTCCAGCTCTCACAGCCATACATTCCTACTGGGAAAAACCATAGCATTGACTATACGGACCTTTGTTGGCAAGGTGATGTCTCTGCTTTTTAATATGGTATCTAGGTTTGCCATAGCTTTCTTCCCAAGGAGCAAGCATCTTTTAATTTTGTGGCTGCAGATGCAGAAACGTCTTCGGACAGTGCTGGTTCAATGGCCTTCAAATGGAGATAAGCTCCACCCCCTTTATCCATGATGGCGAACCTATGGCACGAGTGCCACAGGTGGCACACAGATCCATATCTGTGGGCACATGAGCGTTGCCGTAGCTTAATTCCAGCACGCATGTGCGCACTGGCCAGTTGCTTTTCAGGCCTTCCGGGCCCACCGGAAATTGGGAAATGGGCTGTTTCTGGTCTTTGGAGGGCCTCCGGGGGGATGGGGAAGGCCAGGTTCCAAGAAAGCTTCTGGAGCCTGGGCAGGGTGAAAAACAGGTCTATCGGGCCCACTGTGCCATCGCGTGCCAAAAGCAGGGGTCACACGTGGAGGGGGGTCACGCATGCATGCGCGGGGGACATTGAATTATGGGTGTGGGCACGACACCCCTGCACTCTCCTCGCTTTTGGCATGCGATGGCAAAAAGGTTAGCCATCACTGCCCTGTCAACTACAATTAGTGGAGTAAGATCTGCAGGGACTCCTTTACCTTTCTAGTCACCATCAGCTCCATAATAATCACCATCATCTTGAGTTCAAGAAAATAAAATCTATCACTGCTTCCATTTCCTCACCTTCTATTTCCCACATTATGAGTGTGTTAAAGTGAACCCAGCCACGGTTGTTGGTAAACCATGCTTAATTAATGTTAATTCAGATTATTGTGGTTTATTCCACAAACCATCAATAAGCCCTTGGTCCTTGTTAATTTTCTCTCTTTTTGACCAATATTTTGGTTGCTTTTCTAGTTGCCTTCCTGGAACCTCTGACTTAATTTTTTAAATTTGCCCTTGGTCTCAGATGTAGCATTTCGGGGAAAGCAATGGCTGGGATGCTTGCCATGGGTGGAACTCCTGCCAGTTAGCGATACTGTTTTAGGTTGCTAGGTTTGGAAAGGAAAACTTGCAGTATGATTTCTTTACAGTTACCCAATTACATAAAAAAAAAAAAAAGAGCAAGCATTGACGGTATTTTTAATTGAGATGTTATAAAAATGGTGGCAACTTAACGGAGTTATACATGCCACAGTAATGATCACCAATTGCTGATAATGCCAGTATCAGATATATATTGATGGTCGTGCTCATTTGGTTCTATGAGGAAGTTATTTGGTCAATACAGCTTCAGGTTCAAAAGGTTGTTTTTATTATTTACAAATATATACCTGCATACGATAATGAACAGGGTGTCCTGTTACATTTTTACCCTAACTGTATGACTCAGATGTTGAGAGGAGAGAGATGTTCACGTGTTGTCTCCCTGAGAGATAGATGAGAGAGAGAGAAAAAAAGGGGAAGATATCCAAGTGGTTTCTAGGTGAGAGTCCAATAAGAGAGTTCATTGGCTGATATAGTCATATGTGATGTCTGTAAAGACTTAACCCCTTCTAGTCTCTGGTGCATCATATGCAGGCAATATCTGACAGCCAGTTTGGTGTTATAGTTAAAGACACTAGGCTAGAAACGAGGAGACCA